TTGTAACGGCGTTTTGAATTGTGATTCATGTTTGTGATTCTAGCTTCGAAAATTCGATTGAACGCACCCTACGTCTCCATGGATAGGCCTACAAAAACTAGTGCAGCCCCAGGTAATGTAGAGACTACCAACATGTATTTGTTATCTCACAGAATTGCAGCCAATTGATGATTTCCTGGAGCAGATTTTATTTTTTAATTTATTCATATATTCATTTTTACTAACATGCATGGATCTATCAGTTATGAATCTACATTACAAATCTTCTTTATTCCAGGAATGTGCCTTTATTTTTGTTAAAGAGGTACATTACTGTACATGCAGATGGAGTTGACAATTTTTATGACACATCCTTCACAGCAGTAGTAGTAAAGCGTGTCCACACACAAAACAATTTATCCTGAAACTCTATAACAAAACGTCTATAAAAAAAATCATTGTATAAATTTCAGAGTGTCCACACACAAGAAACGTTGTATAAATAATCATCGTATAAATTCCAGGATGTCCACACACAGAAGAAAGTAATCCTGAAACTCTACAACGAAATGTATAGGTGCGCAGTTTGCTACTGCGGTCATGAAATGGAAGCGAAAATGAGAGGTCTGGTCTCCTTTCGCTCGAGATTACGTTAAGCCCCGCCCAGTTAGTTACGCTAGTTACACCCCCTCCCCCCCTGTCCACACACAACATTTTCCGTGATTAGGCGTGATTAGGCGTGATTCTTTATTGAGTTTCAGTTCGAAACGATGCCCAAACCTGCGTTTCGTTATACGACGTATCGTTAGTGAGCGTCCACACACACACTTTTCATCGTAAAACTATCACGAAACGGTATCACTATCGCGAAACGGTATAGCTAATCACGCCTAATCACGGAAAATGTTGTGTGTGGACAGGGGGGGAGTCAACAAGGAAGTTTGAGGTAGAAAAACTATACTCATTCTTTCGAAGTCTATTTTCCTCTCCTTATGACATGCAGAAGGTAATACGGACAATGTACACTTGTATGGTGGGATCTTGGATAGTTAATAATGTCAAAGGAGTATATTTTTTGTGGAAATTCCTGTCTCCTGTCATGAAGGTATGACCCCACCTTGACCTTGCCACCATTGTTCATGTAATCCTCGACAGACAGTGGCATGTGTGTTTCTTATCCTTTACTCACTCAGAAAATATACTCTTACTCACACTAGAACTAATAGCAGCGAACAGTACAATGACAGTCACATCATTTGGATGTAGTCCTCGCGTAATTTCATGTGACAGAACGGAAGATGAGTAATTGTTTATATATTATGTGACCCTCTTTCCTGACATTGTGACAAATTGTTTCGTTATCAAGATCACAGTTTGTCCATAGTGCTGGATTCTTTGATTTTAATAGTGACTTCAGGTCTGTTACAATTTGATATAAGCTCAGGTTAAAATGAATGTGTAAAGTTTGCTAGATTAGCTTGGATCTTGTATTATACTGGTCAAAGAAGCATTCAATCCAACTTGTCCAACTTGTTTTACTCCACCAGGAGTGTTGAGCCATATCATTTCAGATTATTTTTAGATAAAATAAAGTGAGCAAATTTAAAATTAGATTAGATAAAGGCCATGCTTGACAAGATTGATGTAATGGCATTATAAAATTATCAGTAGATTTCAAAGTTAAATCGTATAAGTTTCAAACAGGGCAGTGAAGTATTACTACACTATGAAAAATAAACAAACGTATCATTCTGTATTTGTTACATTATTACACTGAAACTTGTAACATCCAAAGTTCTATTCTGAGAACACTTCTCTGGAAATTGAGACAAGTGTAATCATTTGTAATATGAGTAATTGTTGAAGCCATTCATTTTCACTTTTGAATAAGAGTTTCGTCTTCGATATCAAGAATTATATCAAATTCCTTAGGGTTTGAATTTGAGACTTGAGGGAGGTCAGACTGATTTAATCACATTGACTTAAAGGATTATATCAGTGGGTGTAGTATAGTGTGTGATGTCTTTATGCTCCGTTTCCAACAACTCTTTTGAGCTACAAAGATCGGTCCACAGCGAAGGGGACCATATTTGAAGGGGATTTAGTCATGTCAGTGTTGTTTTGTTGTGCCGATACAACATGGATGTGATTTTCGGCATTCTTGCGTGGACACCCGATATCGTCTCGGTATCGTCTCGGGATCGCATCCCAAAATTGGTGGTGACATGGATGAGGTCTTTGAGCTGTTGACAGGAGAGTGAAACTGAGAATTCCCGAGTTTCTGTGTTAGAAACATGAGGTGAGTCTGGCTAGATGCACTCTGTGGTTGGTCGAAATCATTCTCGTCTCCCGCTATGAACATGTTTCATTCAAGTCCATCTCTCTGGAGGTACCCAAGCAATGACCTGTTGACTACATTAGTCAGATGTACCTCTGTAGTTGGTAGAAATGGTGGAGCCCCAAAAAAACAACCTTTTGTTATTTCCCTGGTGAAGTGGAAGAGTTCAGCTTTCAAAGTGAGAGCAGATGTTGTTATAATATTATTATTAGAGACATATTTGTGCCTTGAAAATAATAGCAAACATGTGTCTGAACATTGAGTTTATAGAGTTTGATTTCTGCAATTCAGAGACTCGTAAAGTCCAATAACCGTACTGGCTATGAAATATGATTCACCTGAACATCATCTACGAACTTACAATGTGTAATACAAATTCCAATTCCTTCATACTTGGGGGTCACAAGACCTCACTCCCCAGGAAAGAAACCAATTTCATAATTTAGATTTAGAAAGCAATAACAAGACATTTTTCTTTGCCTATAACACTTGTATGAAAAAGTTTCTAATCCTGATTCTCTGCCATAAATTTTGTGCTGAAATATGCAATGAAAAGCCATTCTTATTCTATACAACAGCAACCCGAGTACAATGGTATTTCCTTCAGCTAGTATTCGATCACGTAAATGCGATGTCAAATCATGTCTCTCTCATGATTTAGTGGCTTGTTGTTTGTTCAGAGTGAAATATCTCCACCTCTTCTTCTGGCAGTGCATGTTTGCTTGCATAGACAGGGGATCAAAGGTGAACCAAAGACATCATGATATACCCTTATACAACTATAATCTCTCTAACTGCTTGTTTCATTTTATATGAAGTCACTTTGTAATATTGCAAAAAAACGAAAACAAGGAACGATCTCCAACATGATTTACGAATATCTTCTTCTTCTTCTATATGTAGTAATCTTCAAAGGGCTATGCAGCATTTCAATGTTGTGCTTTATTTAATTAATTGTAAAATTTGCAATTTGCAATGAAAAAAATAAGCTTCTCATTTTGTAGTTTATTGTGAGGAAGAAAAAAAGAAAAAATCAGAAAAATCCAAGGAGATAAATGCATGCATGTTTGGTTTTTCTACATTGAGTAAAACCAAAACAAATTATGTGTTTTAAATCAGGCTTTGTTTTCTGTATGCTGTTGAATATTGCAGTGGATTTCAAGTAAATAAATTATATGAAAAAGTTGTCAAACTGAATATCCAATAGGTGAACAGGATTAGAGTGTATTTCCCTATTATTGTTACAGTTACCACTACTGTTCATTGACCTTCAATTCTATTTTAAAAGCTTTAAATGACCGCATGATTCCAGAGTAAAGTTATGAATTCATGCTTGGCTTTTCCCTGTTAACAGGATTCAATTTTCATGGCAATTAGAAGGTTTCTTTTAAAATAAGCAGAAAAAACAGGAAAGCTATGTTTCCCCATGGTAATGTACATGTAGTATGAGTGCCTCTGTTGCCAACACTGTATATAGCCTTTCTTTCAACATGATTGTTACTGTTGCCAATACATGGCACCAAGTTTGATCTCATCTCTAATATATATCACATGAATTCACATTATTTGATTATTTACTTCCCTTGTGGAAGTAAGATCAGTATATTTTGGGTATGTGGTGTAGAATTGATTGATATCTTGTGGAATGATGTTGGCTATTACTGGGATACCATGCACATTACAAATACATGAGGTATTACATTTGGGTGACAGCCACATTCATTTGGATTTATTGGACTTCTACATGTAAAGGAGCATAGGAATTGTATGGTAAATTTCAACATATTAACCAATTACAGGCCCTATGCCCTTGTATGGCAGCCCTGATAATAATTGCCCCTCCCCTCTCTCCTTTCCCAGACCATGTGTAGTCTAGTAAATCATACTTTGATTCCTGGCAAAAATATTCTGTCATTATTTAGAGTTTGACTTCGGAGCAAGAAGGATATTGAAAGGTAATTAACTCATTAGTCATAGATCCTCTTTAATGGTGTTCAATATATAATGTGGATTGTCTTTTTAAAAAATTCTGCTTTCAACTGAGACTACAAGATTGGATCTAAGGAATAATATGTTTGACACTAGGTCTTTGTTGTTGACATTTCTGGTTTTGGTAATGTTGAAGAGATATTAACATTATGTTTTATTTTCATTTAAAGATAAAGACCAGTTATGGTCATGCGATTGCATTGTGAAAGAAACGTTGTGGAATCGATCAGAAAAAAGGTTGATCATCTAGCATATAAGTATTGGTGTGTACTGCAAGGTTCTGGAATCATCAAAATGATAAGAAATTTGGCCCAGTCTTCGTAAAGTTACAAGCACTGTAGACAGAAAGATGTTTATGGGACTACGCACACGTGCGCAACACGTGCGTTTATCTCTCACACACCAATAGATAAAATAATTTACCAAATATATCAATTAGTAGACGGTTTCCCGGCAAAATTTTTATTATCATATATTAGTCAAAACATACTCTTTCACATGATTGGTAATAAGAGCTTCCATTTCATTTTTTGAAATTGGGGCGTTTCCAATACTGGTCTTTACCTTTAATGTAAATATTTGCAAGATTCTAAAATTGTATTGATGTACATGTACATCATGTAAGTATCTCGAAACTGTAATTCATTTTATCAAAAGCATTGGCAATGTATATAAAGTAAAAGGTCTACATGTAGCAGAATGGTGTTTGTGAAGAAGAAACAAATCTTGAAAGTTGAATACATACTTGTCTGAAGCAGATTCTGTTGTGAAAAACCTTGAAGGGGAAAATAAAGATTAAAGAGACTGCTATGTAATGACAGTCCAGGCCAGACTCTAAAGTCTAAACATAGCCTTAGCCTTAGAATTGAAAAGGGCAGCTCTATAGGGACCGTTCGGAAGTCACTGACAGTCAAGTGGCTGAAGAGCCTAGACCAGCTCTTCATCCATCCATCCAGATTGATGGCATAGCACAAGACCATCTCTTGTATCCAGCTCTATACAGAGACCTATTATGTTATCTTGTGGTTTCTCTTCCTCCCAAACATTCATTCACCTCGCAACCTAACTTCACCTCACACACACATGCACACACCGTCATGTGGTTTATCTGTCTAAAAACTTGAGGGGGGTGTAGATCAACTCCCTATGACATCACTCCTGAAGCTTGAAACAGAATCATTTGGTATGTGTGCAGTGTCTGCATTGCACGCATTGAAAGGTACACATCATGGACAGCAGATTTCTCTATGATGTCACTGGAGCTGGAGCATGTAAATGTTTAGATAAATGGGGAATGTGAGAGAAGCAAAGCTGAATTTATATTGGGGGAACCATGGTTGCGTGACAATGTGGAAGTTTATGTCCCATGGTATTGTTGAACAGGATGCTGACATTCAGTGAAGGTTTTGCTTCAGTTGTGCACAGTCAAACTCCATTGAATTATCGCTCCCTGCAGTCAAAATGGAGCGCTAGAGAGACGAGCACCTGGCATGTGGCAGAACTATTCTTGGATGTATTTCGTGAAGTTTTCATGAGAGAAAATGGTGGATTTTGTGCGTGGTTATAGAGCCAGAGATGCTATTAAAATGGATTCTATAAATATGGATAATAATCTGGATTCACTTCTAGATCTAGACTTCAACTTCATGAGGGGTATGTACATTATTATATGCAGATCTTTGAAACATGAAACAGTGATAGAGTTTGTAAGTGTTTCCAATTATCAAGTAATTTATACTTGTATCCTAAATTCAGTGTAACTTTCCCAGTTCATGTGTAGATTTCTTTGCAATTGTAGACTTTCTAATGAAGAATTACACCGAAAAAGTACTTTGTCAACCTGTAGTTGACTAGTGTTTGTACCATACTACCATGCATATGCGTACAGACAGTCGCTCATCATTAAAGTACATTTTCACAAAGAAGTATGAATGTATTAGCTTAAGATTGCTGGATTTACTTATTTGGTTATCTTGTACTAATAATGATTAATTTCCAAAAAGAAACATTCAAATTTTGTTTGGCCTGTCTTTTGTGGTTGTGTTGATGTTGGTCAATAATACTGGTAGTTCCTAGTGAAAGATTAAGTTATACAACATGATCTGATACTCTCAATATTATGTGATAAAGTATTACATGTATTATGTGTAGCCTATATTTATTCTTTCTGTAAAGTGCATAAAGAGCATATTTTTTTTATTGTATGGAAAAGACCGAGAGTAAGTATCCCACACCTTTTAGTTTGGAGGGCTGATTCAAGCCTACCAAGTTCATTCCATTTCGATTGCTGTCAAGACCATTCGGAAACCGCACGGTTCACATTAACTACATCCACATGGTCTAGAGAGTCTCTCTCGTCCTGCAAGGAGCTAAATATACATCACTACAAGAAAGAGGAATCACATCTGCCTGAATGCTCATTTATTTGAATTACTTGATACTTGACAGGAATAAGCTAAATTGCTTATTCATTTGATAAGGTATAGGCCCCCTAATCCCTATATTTCAAACTTGACTTAGTTGCTTCCCCTTTTTTCCTTTTCAAAATGATTGACTTTTATGACACCCAGGCTTACTTTGGTTGCTGTGTCACTGGTTCATTTTGAAAAGATATATTTTAAAGTTGTCACTTCCCAAATTTTCTTCTCATAATGATTGACTTATATTGGACCCAAGCTGACTGTGGGTCACTTTTTAAAACCTCCTTTCCCATCACGTTAAACTGCATAAAAGGGATCGGCCGTGGCACAACAAATAACAAATAAAGGTGAAAAAAAGTTAGCTATGCTTAATTAATGTCTGTTTTTGCACATCCCTATATCATAACACACACAAATGTTAAAACATCTACACAAGTTTTAGTGAAAGGTTGTTGTAATATATGTGTGAACAAAGTCTAACAATAAAAGCAGTATGATTTGTGAAACCTGTAGCTTCTCTCTGACCTGCTGTAGTGAGGGAGGTTCATAGGAAGGTGTATATTAAAGAAGCAGGGAACTGACTCATTTTTAGATGGCGTTTGATATGTCAGTTGTGATTTCATTGCCTTACTGTGCAATTCTTATGATAGCCATTGTTTCAACATCCCTTGCTCGTTGATTTTGATGCAAAAAGTTCTACGTTTATTGTTAGTGAAAAGGAATAATAATAATGATTGTATTGAGATAAGGAAAGGAATGAACAAATATGATGGGGAAATGACTATGGAGCAGAGGAAATACTTGAACTTCTGATGTCGATAATCTTTTTTGTTTATTTTGTTTGCCTTCCTTTACATTTATTTCCTAAATTTCTAATAGAGTAGATTTTAGAGATAATCAAGAGCATTTATCGGTTGAAATCCAAACTACCTTTATGAAATTTGACTACAGATATTGCAAACAGGTGAAGTGGGCACTTCCATATTGCACAAAATTGTTTACACTGAAAGGTTAATAAGGGTTAAATGGACCCTGCTTTAAGTTTTTACAGTCCTATTCTTAGATACCCTAAGGGCTTTTTCTTTTATTGGTTTTGAGCCCTTTCACTGCCAAGTTCTAATTTGCTTCTCCCTCAGATGTCCAAGTTTTGCTTTGGATCGATTCCTCACTTTTACACTGCTGAGCCAAAAGTGGAAAGTTTTGAAACTCTCAGTTTGTAATGCTATTATTGATTTGAATCATCTGACCATAATATAGTTACAAAAAAGGGACAATATTATACTTAAATAACAGTACACATATTATACTATATACAATTAGTTGCTCTAACATGTACACTATTCAGTATACATGTACAGTACTTGTCTTGTATGCTACCTCCTAAAGTCCGTACATCATTTTAGTCACTCATAATCCCATTCTAAATGGAGGATTTTGATTAGGATACTTCCTTTATAGCAACCTCAAAGGAAAAATTAGCGGGGAACCTTGGGTTTACTGGTTTTCCTATCTTCTATTTTGAGACTCAAGGGGTGGGAATGTTAAACCATGGAGATAAGAAGAAATGGTTAAACAATGTCTCTGTCATTTCATTTCATTTAGGTCATAAAACATGAATGCAGGCAGTTTAGAACATTCCTTTTCTGACCCTCCCACTCTTCCAGCGTGAGTGATGATCTAGCAGTTTTATTAGATTATTGTCATGCAGTGAGTCAGTTAGTATCCTTATACATGTATGTGGGCTCGCACAAGTTATTTGCCATTCTGTCCTTCAAAATGACTTCATTCTACAAATCTTCAATTTGAGACAGGCTGGATGTTCATATTTTCGTAGAACTCACTTTACTCATGTAGGCCTACGTGTCTGAATGAAGTACAAGAAGACAAAATCTATTATTCTATTCTCTTTGTCGTCATATTTTGTCATGTGTTTACACTCCTCTTTTTAGCCCCCAACAATCGTAGAACTGCATGCCCACTCTATTGACATTGCTGCTATTCATACCGCTTCCTGTTAGAATGGTCCTCAAGATAAACATAACATTGAAACGAATAAAAAATTCCCAAGTTGACATGAACTTTGTCTTCAAATACTCTAAATATTTCTGTATGTATTGTTATTTGATATATGACGATTGCTCATGAATTGCAGTTATTTCATGGTTATGATATCTTGTTTGTTTTAGTAGATATATTTTCATTCATATACAGTATTGTTTTAAAAATATTGGGTGTATTTCGCTGTTGATTACGTCGCTGTTTTCACGAAGTGACGGTAGTGAAAAAAATTGCATTCACATTGCGTGACGATTTTCCTCACTACCGTCACTTCGTGAAAACAAGGACGATATGTAGACTGTAGGAGCTAGGAACTTACTTCTAGTTTAACTTAGACATATTGGATAAAAAATTCACAAATCTTCATTGGAGATTCTTCCTGCTTTTTTTCTGTCCACCATGCACAGTTTGTACTAGGCATTGCCTCTTCAATCTTCTTTTCAAAAGACCACACAATACAATCATTCTTCAGAAATATTTTTTTTTTTGAAAAATCATTTGCACTTTATACCCTCGGCTAGAGTGTGATGGTATTTCATTATTAAAGGAACAGACATGCTTGGAATAGAGAGGTTTATTGTTGATCTTCAGGTATCTTTGAGTGTAATATGCAAAAAGGATCTGTTATCAATCATGTCATGCATTGTACATCAAATTAAAAAAGACATAACCATGACCTGTTGACTTGATTGCAAACCAAAGTATTTCTACATGTATAATCACTTCAATTGTTCTTTGTTAAGCATTTGGGATGACTAATGATTTAACAATTCAGACTATTGCGGTGATAGAATGTCTGTCTCTTGAATTGTTTCTTCTGTCTTCTCTCGGTTCTGTAAAAGGTTAATTCGTATTGTCCCTTCCAAGGTCAACGCTGTGACCTGATATAACCCATTTGTGAGGTCACTGAGTCATGGAAATCAAGAAGAAGTGTATATTTTTGGACTATATTACATTATTAGAGCACTGTGCTGCACTCTGGACTATTGTGCTATTTCAATATCAGAAATCCACATCTTTTACTCTTTTTTTTGTTGGTTAAATTAAATTTCTGGTTCTTTTAAAATGATGCATTTCTAAGCTAAGCCGACCATATATCATTCCAATTTTGGAATGATTCTCTGCTAGTTAGCCATTTATACATGGGAATATAGGCCCTAGGCCTATAGATGGTAATTGTAGGATATCACAAATGCTGTCACAGCAGTTGTGATTTTGATAGAGAAAAGAGACGTAGAGATATTCATCCTTCAGAGAGCAAAATTATATAAAAGGGCAAGGCAAGAGTGAAGGATGAGTTTGATGAGATGTTACCTCAAGGGTCAGAGTTCGCATGGAGGAAGTGGATCTGTGTTCATGGTTTAAGAAATAAATAGTGGGCTGAGAATGAGACGTGGGTCAATGTTTTTTCAGTATTGTACCCTCTTCCTTTCCTTTAGTTTAGATTTAGAATATAGGCATAAGTTACTCATTCCATTTATCAATCCGGATAAATAGGGCTTTAAGTTGGGTCCAAACCACAAGTCAAGGGATGGATCATGACGACAGTCACGACAATGAACCAAATTGTCATATTTATTCTCACTACCATGTCAACAAGTTCAACAACACGTTCTTCTCTATAGAGAACTGATTGTCTACCAACACACTTTTAGGATGGGCCTCCACATTCTTTTATTTAAGAAAACCACACAAATATGTGGACTGTAGAAACTCATTCTTTGGGAAGTAATTGTTTATTTGTATTTATTGTTTGCACTTGATAACCCAGAGCAGGATGGTAATTTTATTCATGAAAATGAGGACAAGGTAAATGAAACTGAAGGTTGTAGGCGAAATCAGATTATTACAAAAAAATTGTTTATAGTGCTGTATAAAATAGAGAAACTAACTACAATTTAAATAAATTTTGAAGAAGAAAGTCTCTCACAGTTTTAGGATAATACATGTACATGTATTTCAATGGCAAAATTAATATCTGAAATTTGTTTGATGTCCAGACTTTAATCTGCTCCATATTACAAAATGAGAATTTATCCACAAACTGATGTCCCTCCACGACTGTTAATACTTTTATGATTGTGGCAGAGTTTACAGTCCAGATTATTCAGAAGTTGTAATCCTTTTCTGGGTTTGGTTGCTCTGATTGTGTATGACAACATTGACCTTGTCTGGGTGTTGGTTTTCATCTTTGTAGGAAACCATGCAGTTATGCACTAGATTGATTAGAATCGTTCAATAACCATGACCTATTGTGTTAGCGTTCAAACAATTGAATATATGTGAATGGAAAGAACTGGAGAGTTTTCCCATTTGAATGAGATACAGAGTATATTAAAAATAATTGTTCCCACAGCCCTTTAGTATAGGTAACAACTGTGACTTGATATATTTTACATGTGATTAAATCTATTTGTTTTATGAATTATGTGAAAATTGATTTATTAATGTTTTTTTCAGAGAATTTTCTTATCTCTAATTAATTTGTTAGTGTATGACAACTAAATGAAAGCTTGGCACATACATTTGAATACAAAAATCAGATTCTTGGTACATTATAGTTTTTTTCATGCATGATTTCTTTTCATTTTTCATTTTTCATTTTTCATTTTTCATTTCAACAGTTACTAAGTCATAAGTCAAATACAGGGCCTCTAAATCATAATAATTTGATCTAAGTAGGGTTATTATTGCTAGGCATTGGAAATAAATTGATCTTTGTAAAATCCTGTTAGTCCTGTACTGACTTTTGTAATTATCCATGTCATTATTGGACGAAATAAAACTGAATTGAATTGAATATCAATACACCTGAACAGGAAATACAATCAGCCTAGTTCATTTTCACCTAAGTAATCCAATTAACTCTCTGAGTTGATGGTTGTTACATTTGATTAATCTTCTAATTGACATTTGGTCAGTATCCATTACCATATCATGGAGTAATTAAAAAACAAGGAAATGTAGGTTGGTGGTTTTATAGCCTCATTAGCCTGATACTTTGTAAACAAAGAGAGCAAATGTAAAAGACCACTTAGTGGTTAAATTGTCAACCTGTATTTTGTGAAATATAGCAATATCAATATCTGTCTTACCTGAGACAGATGAGGTTGAATTAATATCACAGCATTGACACCCTTTTTTGCTATCAGCAGACAATATGCAGATAGGTCATTTGCAATGTTTAGGATGGTTAAATGGATCTGTTATTACATGTACTGTACATGTACAGGTATGTGGTCTATGCATGTACATGTATTGTTCTGCTCTGTCATGTAGGGAAGAGGAATTCATTTCATTTTCTATTTCATTTTCTATCACTGTGTGTCTAGAGGATGACATATTTGTTTTATTTCTTAATTAATATTTTTTAAAGATAGAAATATGTCAACATTTTGAGACAACCAAGGAAATGTACATGTAAGAAACCCCTGATATAAAAGTGTCCCAATTACCAGTCCAGTTCTTACATTGGTCGTGAATGTGTATATGTGTTTATACAATTGGTGCCTAGTGTGCTCAAGGAGATTCCTTCCATCTCCCTGGTGTGATATCTTGATCATGCTAAAACTGTTTGGGGATTTCTGACATCAATCAGGTCTGGCTTTGTGCAGCTGCTGTATAAATAGACAAAGGTTGAGTTATCTGATGGCGATGTCAACTTATCTCCGTCCTCTAAGGGGAACATCCATGTTCTGAATGTTAAAGGGAAGGAACACAGAAATGACAGAATTCGACTTGTTGAATTTAGGGTGGGGGAAATGCTTGAAATTAGTCAGGAGCAAATATGTAATATTCAACAAGCAAATTTATTATAAAAAAAAAAAGAGATACCGGTAGTTCAGAATATTATAGAGTAAATACATCACAACCAGGTGATTGTGGTTAAAAGCACTTCCTAAACAAAATCAGTAAAATAAGAGATAGTTAACAATTATAGATGAAATACATCATAGCCAGATGATTGTGGTTAAAAGCACTTCCTCTGCTTTTCCAGTTGTTTTTTTCATCCGGTATTCACGGATGTTTTTGTCAAAAATTTACAACCCATGCATAAAGGAAATGTAAACAACTAAATATTAATCTATTATAGGTTGATCACTTTGATAATTAATGCCGTAAAACGCTCAATTGGAATTCATTTTGTTAACAGTTTCTTGGTATTGTTCACACATCATAGTTTAAACTGCCTATGAAAATGAAAAAAACTGCCTTGACAGAACAAAATGACAGAAGTACAGTGTGACCAACATGTTGTAGTACATACAGATAAGTTGCATAGGGGTCCTTGTGCTCCAAAACTATTTTCACCTCCACTTGCTAATTGCTATTCATTTACAAATAAAATCAATAGGATTTTTTGGTTGTGTCCTGGTCCTGTCAATAACAAAAAAAGTTGTTTATCATGTCATATGTGAACGGAGCGTTATTTTTGCCTGCTTCTGGTGTTTTTTATCTGCTCTGTCACTTCTTATTGCTTCCTATTGCACTGATTTGCTATTCAACGTGATAACAGTAATTTATTGTATTGATATCCCTTTCCTGTGTGAACAAGAGATCTCAATGTAGTCCTGTGTCCATTCTCTTTTGGTGGTCAGTGTGCATCCTTCTACCATTCACAAATGACCTCTGTGAACAAAAGCCCTATGACCTTCTGTCTGTCTGGACCTTAGGCTGACCAATTGACCAGAAACCCAAACATTGGTCATTTGTAAGTGGGGAGGGAAACAGTAGAAGCACCCGATATTTACACTGCTGAACAGAGGATGTACAGGTGACAAAGATATTGTAGAAGGAGTGCTAATTACGATGAGGGTGTAGAGGAAATTGAATGATTTAAACTAACATTGTTGGGTGGTCTGAATGTGTGGATGTGAGTATCATAATGTGTGCACTTTGGCACTTGTGAAGGTAAATAAATGAATTGAATTACCTGCTGCGTTTCCCTTTGCACACCTATTCATGGCTATTGACCATTGTGCTGAGGCTTATGAGGTACATCGATTTCTATTGCACATATGACGCATTGAGAGAAAGGGTTTGCCATAGTCATAGATAGTAGAATAAAGTTACTAGTTAATTGAAGAAATTAAACATTGGAACAATTCAATGTCTTTAGTAGCTTACAAAGAAGGAGTTGAAAGTTCTGGGACCATCTATTGCTATGACCTCGTAATAGTCCATCTTCACAGCGTAGACCGCAATCTACTAATTAGGAGAAAGTGAGTCACTAATTAAGTGATCAATTACAGGAAGTATTCAAACTTATACGAGTCTACCAGGACATCTGCCTTCTAGCTTTCAACATGATGTGAGTCATGTTCAAGAAGGCTATAAAAAGAACATTTTGTTTTCTGTCATACAGCTTCATTTGTAAATCATGTTTGACCACTTGAATTAAGTGTTTCATTTTTTGGTTTAATCCACAGACATGTCGATGGACATCGCGCCTACCCTCATCACGTTGTACGACTCGGTAGCAGCAAATGGCCAAGTAGATGAACATCCCCATCAAGGAGAGGAAGAGGAGGAGCGTGTGCGGCTGCAGCAGGACTGTGAGTCATGTGATCAGGAAGAGCGAATTGCATTTGTGCCGAGCTCAACTACCCTGGCTGCAGCTTGTTTGAGAGACTCAGAAGGAAGTTTGATTGCAGCCGATGATGTCACCCAAGAAAACGAGGAAAAATGTAGCAAAGGAGAAAGTGACAACAGGGGTAGGGAAGGTTGTGAGAGCCCTTTAGTAGCTGCAGAAGAGGAGAGACTCGAGCACCTTGCTTCTAATCATAGCTTCTTACATGCTGCAGGAGGAAAGGTGCCGTTGTTAGACAGTGTCTCTATTGATTCTTACCTTGATAGAACTACCCAGGAGAAACAAGATAACGCCCAAAATGGCAGCGGCGATAGCAATAGTGTTTCAAGTGCAAATATAGAAGCCCTGATTCCATGCGGGAAGGTGAACCTACATGGAGCTCGCGATAACAACTTCAACGTAGAACATTCCAGTAGGATGGTTAGTAGCGATGATCCAGGAGGAGAAAACATGGCAATAGATGTAGACTTCAACAGCAATAGCAATAATGACTGCAGGCCACGGGCCCAGAGCGCCGACCTGCTCTCAGACAGCAGAAGATGGAGTCAGAGACAGCGTCCAGCAAGTGCAGAGATTACGACGACGGAGTATCTTGAGAGCGGTGCTTGCTCACCGGTTCTCCAGCAGAAACATGAAGAGGCGCATCACAGCCATGCCCCTACCAGGCAGAACTCGTCCCGCATCAACCCTCCGATTATTGTCACGACGACTCCTCTGACCAATGAAGCCATGTCCCCACCTACATCACCCCCAACATCACCCCCGATGAGTCCCACCTTCAACAAGAGACCAAAGTCATCTATCTTCAGCATGCAGGGAAGGACCTACCTGGGCAGAATAGTAGATGAGATCATAGAAACAGAGAGGAGTTATGTGGGAGATCTTGGAGACATTATCAAGGTAATAACTTTTAAGAACTTCTTTTCATAGTAGAGTATCTGATACTGTTAACTAATCTTTCAACTCTCATAATCTTGAGCAGCATTATGAATCTGAAGTGTATGTTATTTTCAACTTTGTTTTCTGTAGAGTGTGAAGCAACATATGAAAGAAAGCAAGGAATCAAATACGGGTGGATTTGTCACTTGAAACTTCAAAAATTCCTTGCAATGATAAAGGCTTGTAAACATTTATATCTAGAGTATGTTTGAATGACTGAAGATTTTCTGGTTATTTTGTGATATGATAACATACATGTAACTGTACTGTCTTCAATTAAAGGAAACTTTATTTTGAATAGTGAACAAAGCAAAATGTCCTGAGTTGGCACATTTGTTGTGCTAAATAGTGATGAGCAGATTAGGGAGGTAGGCATTGATGGGTCAATAGCCATCAAAAGTTCATTTATTTGGTAATTACCTCCGACCTTAGAACAAATAAGTTGTTTACCCCAATCAAGCAATTACCTAAACCATTGCTAAACAACCCCCATGGCTAATTACCCTTTATTGTCACTAATCTAGAACTGATTGAACAAATGATTATCTTTCTAGTTAATGAGCCATTCTTTTAGATACAGGTTTTGACGCCATTTATAAATTGTGCTGTCCAGTGCAGATCAGTATTCTTACAGGTTTTGGCAGCCCTCTGTTGTTAGCTGGATTTCATTTTGAAGCCAGGGCAATTTGGCTCTTAAAAACTTTGATAAAAAATTGCTGAATGCAAGACTTGGTGGTGTGAATACAAAGAATTTTTTGTGATAATCAGTGCCCCTGTTTGGGATAGAAAGAAGAGACCGAAAGGTAAAGCTTTTGGCCAATTCACAGTCGTGGGTTCAGGGGTCAATCTGTGATTTGATTCATCAACTTGGCAAACAGAAAATAGAATGTGACAATCACAGTGAGAAGGCATTTCAGTGTCATGGACCCATCCCGTGAGCAGGGATTGCAATTGAAAAAGTGAAAGTAGTGTTTTGTGAATGATATTCTCTGAAATGTTATTAAACATAATTGAATGGAAGTCAACACACTTTTTTGATCAGTATTCCCCTACATCTATCACACAATTTCTGAACAATGCAAGGAAAACAAAAATTGCCTTGTTTTCCTGTCATACTGCACTTTAACAAATTGAATAAATTCTTTTGAAAATACGATGCAACAAATAAGTTTGATTGTCGAAGACTGTTCCACCTCATAAAGATATGAAATTAAATTTTGCTACCTTATACAATGTAACTTCCCTTACAGATTTAATTCATTTGAAAATCATTTTCCAGAAGTACATGTACTTTAAAAATTCAAATTCATAATTTTCCCCCCAATTTTTCAATGATGGTCTGTCCAAAGTTGAGTGATTTTTTTCTACGAGCTACGTGCAATTTGCTTGCAACAGTTTTCATTGATTGACAAAATAATACTTCAAAATACCATAATCCCAGGTGTTTTATGGGGCATTAGTGAAGACCTTCTGTCTGTTAATATAGAGTAGAATTAACCTTTTATGAAGACCTTAAGTCACATCTGTCCTCAATTTAGGACACCCAAATGTTGAACTTAAAATAGGCAATGTTTCAACTTCCAAGTGAAAGGATTGCGTACCTGTGTAGGATGGGGATAATTGTTCACACCTTTGTGTAATCGACGCCTTAAATTCATGCCCCTGAAAGCATGCAAATCCTTTCTTGTTATGATGTAAAGATTGGTAACCGCCTTGCAGTGAAGTGCAAGGTGAGGGGTATTGAATCAACACTGACAGGAAAATGAGAAGGGGTCACCAGTTAGGTAATGAAGTTTGCAGACCCAGGGTGGTAGTAGCATGATCATTTAATGCTGCTCTTATTATTCTAATTGAGCAAAAGTGTGTTGGTGATTGACAAGATGCAGAGAGGATTTAGAAATTACTCTGTTTAAACAATGACTGATGCATGTTCAGACCACTCACCAAGAAAGAGGAACATACATGTACTTTAATAACTTTCCCTCTTTCTCCCTCTCCCCTTTCTCCATTCTCTTCGAACTCCCTTCCCTTCTCTCCTTTTCCATTCCTCTATTTCCACCTGCATTTCTTACATTTTGTCTTTCTGTATGTTAACACCCCCTTTCTCTTCCTCTTTCTCTCTTCTTCTCTCTTCCTCTCTCTCTCTCTTCCTCTTTCTCTCTTCCTCTTTCTCTCTTCCTCTCTCTCCCTTTTCTCTGTGGGATTCACACTACAAATGTACACAAAGGTTCCAAATCACAGTATATCTACATTAACAATGACCTTCCAATAAAAAGCTGTGATATGAACTTTAATGAAGGAATTTTCTTTGTCACATGTGATAAAACCACAGTCAAGTTATTGTTGTTCGGAAAGAATTATGAAGGTCCTCTGTTCACAATATGCTTATTCAAACGGAATTAAAAATTGAGGTATTTCATGATGCATTTTACAAAAGGGAATGTGTGCTTTAGCTTTACCACATCCTACATTTTATGTACCTAACTTGTGCAGGTTATTTGGAAAGTTTATGTGGTTGACAACAGTTTTGATGCTATTAAATGATCCCATAACTAACCATGCAAGAGTAACACATGCTAATATTTGCATTATAATGCTCCTGGCTGCACCATTTTTTAAATGTGATAAGATATGTGCTAAACCATTGTGCACAACCCTCAAATACTTATGATAATTACAGGCGCTGTTAGGGCATATTGTACTCAATAGTTTCCCCAGGAATTGTGGGATAGTGATAGGTGTAGTAGTCTTCTGTTTACAATCACTGTTTTACATGTCTCCATTCATTACCTCATATTTTTTGCAATGAATTTATGACGTCCATTAAATGATATAACAACATCCATAATTTGATATTTGAACTCTAATCCATCCAGGGTTACAACCAAACGATGAAGAACCATCCTGACATCCAACTCAGCCAGGAGAAGTTTGACACTCTCTACTGCAATCTAGAGGATATTCATTCTTTCAACAGGTGAGTAGGCGTCTTTTTCTCCCCCTCCCTTCAGCATGATGACAGGCCTATAAGGGGGTACAACTATTACGGTATCCATTTTGTCTGCTTTTACCTCTGCAGTCTCCCCCTGTATTTCCGTGGTCGACCTTGTACTAGGTCTTGGCTTCCCCCTCTAAAATGGTCCTCCTTTCCCCCACCTCCATCCGTTGATAGCTTGTACAGTTTGTCTCCTCCCATCTCCCTGCCCTGGTTTGAGCTAGAGGTGACATCTAGTTAGAATAATTTCAAGTCTGTATGTTCCTCCCCTCTTGTTGGGTCTTCCTTCCCCTCTTGTTGGGTCTTCCTCCCCTCTTGTTGGGTCTGCCTTCTTCTTTCCCTCTTTTAGTGTTCTGTTTTTTTTAATTGTTTCTCCTCCGAAGTTCCTATCTGCCATTTTCTCTTTCATTCTCTGCATACATGAACACTTTTGGGGAGGTTGTGCTTGATTTTCATGTTCATTTCCTAGATGTTAATTTAATACTCTTTACAACATGCCTATTTTTCAATAATTATTGTGATGCTTACATAGTAATTTATAATGTCATTAAGAAACTGCATCAAACTGCTCTTCCTAATGGGTGTACCTAGAAGAATAGCTGGAGATCACTGATGATCAAGCAATGATTAATCTAGTGACTTTCCTGTCTCCCCTGGAGGCTGGATAGCATCTCCGTGTAGCTAATGACATTGATTAGCTTGTTAAGCAATTATTGACTATATCATCATCATCATCATATTGACTGTCCATGTACCGTCATCATCCTGATCATCGTCCGTTTGGAGCCAGAAGGGTGGTAACTCTGTGTTGAAGTGTATGGATGAACACCCTTCTTGCTCCAAACGGACAGTAGAACCAGAACAGTGTGCTGGTAGAGTGTCAGGATATGAGCAGACTTTGGCTGTCTTCCCGTTGTCTGCTGTGAAGCCTGTGATGGTCTGGATACAGTGCAGAGAGCATTGACCAAACAGTCATGCTTTGATCATCATTAATTGAATCCAGACTATGATTCACTGCCTTTCCTAATCATTCATTAGAGTGTATCGTATCAAAGCTGCTGAATAATGACCACACTTTGTTAAAAGATTTGTCTACTAGTGAGATAGGCAGACAAGAATTACTGATATAGACCTACATTTGTCTACAGTTAATAATTGTTATCAAGTTAATGTTGAAATGAAATTAGATTGTAAATTTCTATATAACTGTTGTACTTTTATAACATACACTATAGACATTGGATAGAATTGGGTCTCTAATTATTTGCAGCTGTCTGGATTTTCTGATTGCAATTTGCAAAACATAGATGTACATTAATTTTGTAGATGGTGCAAGTTCTTTACTAGTGATTTGTACAATTCACAAAGCTAATCCTGTTTGTAACATACTTATATTTTGTTGATACAACAGTAGACAGATTTTAAACATAGTACATAAACCTCTATAATATGAAACACAGAAGGGTTCAATATCTGAACTGCAAATTAGGCTGTGGAAAGTTCAGCATGCACCTGTTTTAATCGAGGACACAGTGTTTAATCTCATAATTTTCAAATTATGAACATTATGATGACTAGGCAGGAATATTCATTTATGAATGGAGCAGAGATCTGTTACTTGCTGAATTTAGGGTATGCATGGAAAGCAAAGGCAGAAAAATTATCTTTAATTGGATTATTAAGATTAATTTAACTTTTTATATTGAAAAGTCTGAAGGTAGTCCATGCATTCATGGTGGCTTTGAATGAATGTGAAATGGATGAGATCCTCACAATGGTTGTGTTGCAAAACCATTGTACATGTACATGTACATGTAGTATGCCAAGTATATCTCAGGTAATTTATCATAATGTCTGTTCAGAGCCAGAACGACACTAACTCTGTGTTAGAGTATATGACTTAACCCTTTTGTAGCTCTAAACAGACACAATAGATGCAACATATTTCTATAGGATTAGGTACTATTCGATTTAGCACACTGAGTCCATACTGAATCCTATCTACACTCAACCACCCCTTCTCTCTGCTTGCTTTAACCCAGACTTGGGTGCTGAGTTGAGATCAAGATTAGGAAATTGTGAAATTACCTCAGAACTATTAAAAATCATCATGATTTTCTAATTTTGGGACACTCTGGGGGAGATTCCTGGCCTTTGAGAGATTTATTGGAAGGAAAGGGAAATCCTTCTTCAGAGGAAGGATGAAGTTTAAGCGTGAAGTCTGGCCGTCTGGTCAGAATCTCTTGCCTAACCGGATGAATTGAAACCAAAAATAACTGTTGATTTAAAAATTCTGTCATCAAAGCTACCAAACTCGTTTTTAGGCAAACGTTAATCAGTCTGAGCTAGGGCTTGACTACCAGAAATAAGTGGTTTAGATATTCAACATTTCAGAGACCACTTCTGTTACAACTACATGTATTGTATACCATTTAACAACAACCAGCAACAAGTTATAAAATATATTTCTGAATCTAATAATAGTCAAACTACATGACTGCTTTATTAGCTCAAGCAACCATTCACATTATGCGTACAAGTCTTCCAGCAGTCTGTGCTCAAAGACTGGCTGCCATAAGACTTGGGTGGGAAGTATTGAGATAATCCTGATTTAGCATAGTTACGTGAAATTTAAAATGAGATCATTTGGTAAGCCTTTAACTCACTTCATGAATATATCACTTCACTTATTCATTTTTTCCCCCTCCATTCAACAATATTCCCCCAGATAAGACACAAAGACACGTAATGCAATTTGATCCTGTCAATTCATTTAGGAATAGGATAATGATCTTGGATGTTGAGAGATTATGTCCCATTATTTTTGGTCTTGACGTCATTCATGTTTCTTTCCTGTACCCTTTTCAAAAGTATCTAACTCTTCCCACTCACTGTTGTTTTTAGAAAGAGGTTTTTTTCTCTCTTTTTCATGCTCCCATAATCACATATTCATTTTTTTCTTCAAATGCAGAATCGAATGAACATTCAAGTCATTCATGGCTGCATTGCCTTAAATAGGATTACTTCTAAAGAATCAGTTGAAAAATAGTCAAAGTAAATAAAGAATAGTTACACTTATTTTAGTGACGATAATTTAATTACAGTCACGTTTCTTCAACCATATCCCATTGTTCCACCTGTTTTATCTGTTTTTCATGTGTAAGCAGATCATGATCTCATCATAGATTAGATGAAATTAAAATTAGAGGAATCTGGAATCATTCTTGTCTGGAAATAGAAGTTGTGGCTTGTGTGTGGCTGATTGTGCTTCCTCATGATCATATGCTGAAAGAGGTTGCAAGGCTATTCACTCTTGTTACAATGAGAATGTGGTTTTTAAAGGTTGTAATGAATGATTGTTTATCGCAGTCCTTATGTAAATTGACAGATCACATTACATCCTATTTTGATGATGCCATTGATTATTGTCTGGGTCACGATCTTTAATATAGTGGGGGAGGCAGTCTTCTAACTTCATCATTTTTATTGCAACTTTCAGAAATTTTGTTTGTCATTTGAAAAAGTGAGTTGTCTGTAAACTAACCTACTGTAAACATCTTCTTTTGGGGGTAATTGTATGAGCATGCTTACCCCCAAGAAACTGCAAGGAAAATCTGACTACTGGTATGATTTGGGAGCCTGCCCATGGTTTACACCAGAAGTATAAATCAAGCAATGGAAGAGTTCAGTTTCCAAAGAGAACTTGATGAAAATGCCCCTACCCCTGTGTTTAGGCATAAACACAGTTGTTGAATTGTGAAGAGCTGCAATTTTACATATTTATTCCAGATCCAGACTTCAACTTTTTTTAATGAAGTTGAATTGCCCAGGTTCCAATCTTACAAAGAGGGTATCTTTCATGAGACGGTAAAAGAGCCCTATTAATGGAGGAAGTATCGAGTGTCCTGTACATGCTGTAGTTTACTTCAGTCTTGTCCTATCTTTTCAGCACAGGAATACAAGGAAGGGATACCTCCCTGAATTTCTCCCTCCTCCTCCCAAGATATTTCCAAGTCACTCCATGGGCTTGAAAGAAATAATTATTTATAGATTTTATTTCTTATTATTTTATTCACGTTGGAATTAGCTTGGCCAATGGACACATGCTGATAGGTTTGCTGCTGGAAAAAATTGTTTAATGATTGATGAGAAGACCTAAAAATGTATACAAGAAGTTAATTTGGATTGGGATTGAAACTTTGGGGCTTAAATTGGTACAAAATATCAACACAATAATGGGATTTACAAGAGATTGATCAGAAGTCGCAATGTAAGTCATTCTAGCTAACCAGTAGCAGTTTGGCTAATTCAGGATAAATTGCACATGATATAGCTTTCTAAAATAAATAAGATCCAAAATTGTTCTTTAAAAGGTGTGATACAAATTTATTATTTTAGTGAAATAAAATAGAAAGCAATGGGAAGAGATCTGTTCATACACATTATTGAACAAAAAAAATCCTAAAATTGATATGACTAAGTGGTTAAATTATTTAAAAATAAAGAAACAAAGCATTCTTAAAAATAGAACAAACATGGATGTTGAGGAGTGAAATCTGTCACACATTTTTAATTTTATCGATAAGAAAAGGGAAAGGGTGGAAAATGTATGAAAAGATACCATCTTATAGGAGTGAGGTCAGGCAAAAAAAAAGGAAATGTAGAAACTTTCAGGCTCTAACCAGTATAATGTTGGGTTTGAGCCAATAACTTTTAAGTGGTTCTTTATCAAAATTGTGGTTTCCTTTCTGAATTAAGGGAGGGAAGGTCTTTTATTCATGAGTAATTAATTCACATCAGTTTTGGTTTTGGGGAGGTTTAATTTTCTGAAATGAATGCCAACTTTGAAAGAGCTGCATGATGGATGAATACATACTTGAAACAACCTACATTTACATGTTCTTGAGAATGAGTTTAGAATGATGAATAAGGACACTTTCTACTTATATGTACTGTTAAGTTCTTGCTAAGATATAAAGAGAAGATTGTTATAGTGAAATTGTAAACACTGAAGGAAATTGTAGACAGAAGAAGGCAAATAAGATTTAATTGAGCAAAATGTCAGTCAAGATTTGGGCAATTACCAGTATGCCTATACATGGATGCATGTACCATGTATATGAAGTGTATGTTTCTGTTCACAAATTTTATACTACTTTTTAAACTTGATCATATTTCATCAAAACATGTTGCATGAGAAGAAGTATATATATATAATGCCATCTTGTTCTGATTGGACTTCCCCTGTCATATTGACCATGTTGATTGGTCAGTTGATAAACAGCTGTTGTCTATTCTATTTCTGAATAGATGATCTTGAGTCAAGGTATGAACAGCAGTCTTTAAGGATCTTTTAATTGATTTCTTCCCCCCTCTTTTCTCTAGGATAAAAATAAGCATCCTCGTACACTTTTACGGAAAAGCCGGTGTGCAAATTTGACCATTTCATCAAGTGTATCATATCACAAGAAAAGAAATGTCTGGATTAAATTTTGTTATGACAAGCATTATTGCAGATATTAAGGTTTTATTTTCTTATCCATGAGGACCCATATTCATAAAATGTTGCTAAGCTAATAACAAGTTAGAAAGCTACACACATAATGTTGTGATGCTTGACAACTTGGCTTTGGAAAGTTTCAGAGTATGGCTCTTTGGCACTAGATATTAACCAAATATTTCTATGTGATACTCAGATAAGTACAAAAGACTTCAGATCCAAAAATTCCCCCGTTTTAGAAATCAAATTCAGTTGAGTTGGAGATTTCTTTGAGAAATATAAGACATGCTGTTATAAAGCTGATATTGCATGTTTCAATACGATGAAACAAAATTAATGGGTATCATAAAAGCATTATATCAATATCAACAAGTTCTTGAACACTTTCTATAACTGTACTTGTCTTTATCTGTTTGCTTTTTGCAGGGAACTACTAGCAGATCTTGAGGAGTGTGATGAAGATCCCGTCAAGGTGGCTGATTGTTTCCTAGAAGTGGTGAGTGATCTCAAACACATCTCATTGGTCCTCACTAATGATTGATTGCAACTTTGTCATTATTAACCAATCGGAATTCAGCTTTCAACAAGTCACAACTGAAACCTCAATCCTGATTGGTTAATTAGTGTTGGATTAATGTGGGAGAGTTTTGTGAATGACAGCACCTTGTGATTCATGGTATATCTCTGTGTGTTATAATAAGCATCAGAACCTTGTTCCAATGGCTACACTGTGTACCACTTGTGTGAATACATCATTGAAAAGCTACATTACATTCAGTTATTTTAGACAATCTTCATCAGTTCTCTTAATGACATCTGGATATTATCCTGAAGCTCGAAATTGCGTCTTCACCAGACCGATACGCTCATCACAAACTAGCTTGGACGGGCTATTTGGGAAATAGTGGGATATTTTGGAAACGAGCCCAAGATTTCTCTGCTATTTTCTCAACCAAATATCCCGCTAATTGCAATCGTGGGCTGATGAAGACGCAAATTAACTGGCTAATATGCAATCGGGATAATTAAAATAGTAGGTTTTTTGGCAAACTCGAGCTGATGAAGACAGGCATATAGAGTGAAAGCAGGCATATAGAGTGAAAGCAGCCAAAACCATATGGTGCGTACACCCTTGGCAAGCCTGTGGTATATATACATGTAGGACTATTATGGGTTTTGGGGAGTGTCTAGAAACCTCTCATAAACTTGATATCTGACAGGAAAGACATTCCCCACTCCCCCACTGGCAAAGGATCACTTCTTTGAATTCAAACTTTCACTTTCACTAAATATAAATGCTCTTGTTTTGTCAATGTGGTAATATTGCTTTGTTAAGGACACTTTGCTGCTAGCCATGCAGTTGTTGCTTATTCTGTAAATTCTATTTTAGGCTTATATTAATAGTACAAATATAGATTTGTTTAAATGATCAAACAAACCACTCCAAACTACACTTGATGATTGGAAGTACATGTATATCATCCACATGAACACACTTATCAAGTGGACAGGTTTTGGATGAATCATGAAAGTGCTAAAAAGTATCTCTTGTCTCATGGCCATTTGTCAAGCTCAAGCTACAAGTTATTAAACAGAATGAAATCACGAAATGTTTGATTTGTATTATTTGTACCGGTAGTCGGTTCAAGGTAGTGCATTGGACAAGATCAAAGTTTTGGAGAAACACATTTATGATTTTGGTGTCCTTTGAATGATGGGTACCTTTTGGCTTGTTTATGACCTCTTCAATTTGTTTCAAGATCAAAGTTGTAAAAATAAAAAATCACCCTCTGATGGAAATGAATTCATGTGACTGAAAGATTACTCATTGAATTGCACAGAAGCGCTTTTCAGGAAATCGTAGATTAACTCTATGACTTATCCATCAATTTTTCTCCTCCACTGAATGCACTTTCACTAGACTGTACTGGGAGTTGTAAGAAAGAGAAAAGTATATTAGCTTATCGTATCATTCTGCACTTGTCGCCTGCAGTAATATTTGTCCCCTCCGGTCTGTTGGATTGAGTAGGCCTGCCGACCTAACCTGCCCAAGTGTGGCATGATGAGTGGACTTGACAGTGATGGGCTTATAATGCCTCCCAGCTGGTCATTTGGTCATATCCATAACTCTCATATCTTTTATATGATATCATTAGGGTCAAGAATGGGAGTGGCTGGAAGGAATGGATGCACTTTGTCTTAGGGGTCAAAGGTCCTTGTTTTTGTACCGCAGGCCGCCATTGAGAAACAAAGAACAGAGTGCTATATTGTGACAAGAAAGAATTTGTCTATTCCCTGAAGAAATGTTGAGAACTGATGAAATATGAAATAGTGAAAATGTAAAAAGGGAAGGTTGATACAAAAAGGAACACAATAATATTTGGTGTGTCTAATCATAGACGTCTATGGTCTAATGAAAGATGTGGTAGCAAATATTTTGATAAGTTTTTTAGTGTCATACAGTCGTATGTGTAATATGTGTATAAACTACCGGTACATATCAAGAGAGGTAGTGTTTGGTAGGATTATGGGTCCTTGATTTCAAGCAAAAATGCAGAAACAAAAAACAAGGTCATCAACTAAGTACTTTGTGCTTTCAATGGATTACGTTGAATTAGAAATTTAAAATGACCCCAGTATTGATGATCTCTGAAATGCTGATGTGAAAGAAAACTGACAATAAAAGCTTTTATTCTGAAGTAGTGAGTGACTAACAGTCATCTCTATATGATACAAGGTGAGAGGAGCTATTAAAAGTTCAAAGGTAGTGAATACCGTTGTATTGTGACCAGAGATCCTTTGCCAGGAAGATGATTATATTCCACCTTGAGGCTACTAGGTCTAGGTTGAGGATTATAAACCTGAGCTCCTCTTGACCTGTTTGTTGTTGGAGGTGTCAGATATATGTATGATAGACATCAGTGTGATACAGATCTTGATCAACTCAATTTCCTCATGATTTTTTTCTGTGCAAACCACAAAGACTGGAGCTGAAGAGTGAGAGAATAAAGCCTAGGGATGTGTTTTCTCCGTCTTACAAACCTCTTATTTCTCTGTGCTGTATCCCCTTACCCCCTTACCCCCTTCCCTAACCCCTTACCCCCTTGATGTGCAACATTTTCCCCCTATCAAATGTTATTTTAGAAGATGGGTGATTGACCGGGAAAAATGTATCTTGCCATCCATTTAAAACAAAATGACACTATCTGAATGGTGAAGCAGAGGCAAGCTATGATAAACAAATTAGTCTATTTGTAAAGTTGGGATGGGCAGAGATGACCTACTTTATTGTCATTTCTTGTCCCTGTCATACCAGTATGTTTGTAGGTCTACAAGTATCCCCTTTCTTTATCAGTGTTATCCTGTTTATACCATGTCGTTAAATTTAATAAATACCATTACACACAAAAAGTAAAATAGGATTTTTCCTTGTCTTTACCCCTTTTGCTGGTGTATCAGCTTGTTCTCTCAAACTTCATTCATGGATATTTTCCATTCCATCATACATCCATGATCTGGTACACCCCTCCTACCTCCTCTATGTCACTTCACAATATCAGTACTGAGAGGTTTCAATTAGCACCCTCGTCTCAGAATGATTAATACTAATTTGGTTCCCATTAATTAGATTGTAGCACCCAAACATTGAACCCCAGTAGACAGACGCCTATGCCTGAATGAATGAGTAGTTGGTCCTTACTTAACTTGACATGTCTATATGCTAGGTATTCAAGCCATGTTTGTAACATGCACTGACTGATTTGTGGTTGGTTTTCGGGTAATGCTGGGATAAAATGCCTAATCAAATCTAATATATCCTGGGAATTTTGACAGAATTGCCTCTGTGTTTCATAGTCAATTGTGAGCTGAAGCAAACAATTATTTAGAATTAAGTTCTTCAGACTGTATTGATTTGATTATCATTTGAGTGAGAGAAAAAAATATGTACAGTAGGTAAGTGAACATTCCATACAATAATATAATTATGTTGGTTGCAATGCGAAAATAATGAAATGCATTGACACAATTTACTGTATTGTTGCAATATATAATATATGCTATTGTTGTTATTATTACTGCTGCTACTGCTACTGCTACTGCTGCTGCTACTGCTACTACTACTGCTACTACTTCTTCTTTATCTATTTTGATTTGATTGTATTTTTGTCATGCTACAGGAGGATGATTTCTGCATCTACACCAAATACTGCACCAACTACCCCAAGGCAGTGGACGTACTGACGGAATGTATGCAGGATCCCTTCATATCGGACTTCTTCAGAGAGCAACAGGCTCAACTCAATCATGGTCTTGCTCTAGGTGCCTACCTACTCAAACCTGTACAGAGGATACTCAAATACCATCTCCTCTTCCAGGTAAGTAACTGAAAAAACAGGACAGTTTCATTTTACCAAACTTCCCTTTGCTCAAAAGGACATTGGCTTTGAAATTCATGTTAGAGGAGGGTGAAATAAATTAGAAATCAAACAAAAAATAGACACTTTTTGCATTATGGCTGACGTAATGAAATTAAAGATACTTCATCTGAAGAGAATGGTTTTGTCGGTACTTGTGTAAATGAGCGTAAAGTTAGACTTAAACAAGTACTAGTCTTTCTGGGAAATAACTTTGTGATGAAGAAATTCTCTATTATTGATAGGTTTCCATGGTATTTGATTCATCGATAGAGAGAATACACATTGGCAATTTAGAGCTATATATTGTCAAACATACATTCTGGCAAAATGTAATCGTAACTATCAGTAATCATTAATCAAATACTCCCTCGATTTGTTCAGATTGTAAGAAAAATCAATGTGTCGGAATCTGACATCATTCATCAAATTGGCACTAGCACGAAGGATCCAGGGTGGGTGTTTTTTGGCAGAGTTAGCTGGAGGGTATAGATTAGATAATGATGATTAATGATTCCATCATCCCCGTTGTGTGTGTCACTGTTTGTGAGCATTTTCAATAACAACATACCTGGACCCATTTTATAGGAGTTAGTTTGTGGATCAGGGGGACATAAAAGGAAATTTCAAGGTGACAATTCTTCCTTTTTGCTGAGCATTGTAGATGAGTTATCAAAAACACATGACGGTGAATATAAACCATGATAGAATTAATGTTTTCCTTTGACGTAGATGAAATGAATTGTCATGGTTCATAGGACCCCAGGACATTGGAAAGTCAGTGCGCAAAAAAATGCTGGGATTATTTATTCCTTTGAAAGCTCAGAGATAATGATAGGATTATGTCATAATTTTATTGATTTATGCTTTGCAAGTCATATATTTGGAGTCTGCATCATCATTTATAATGAGATAAAAACTCAAAATGATTTGTTTTCTTTAAAAAAATGCACACAAAAGATGTAGTATATCTAATAAATGATATATAATAATGATTAATAATAATATTTTTTTCAACACATACCGTAAGTCAAGTTAAAAATTCCTGGCTTAAAGCTCCTGTGACTTTCTTCACTCTACACATTCTATTCTTAGAATCCTATATGAGGTTCTTATTTGCACCCATGAGAGCACCCCCTCCTCCGTCATTCATACAGTCATTCTACCGGTCCATTGTTCTCAAGTTTCCTCCATCCCTCCTCATACCTGCATCATGCTAGTAAAGGCCAAAGATCTTGTCAGAGTTTCCCCTTCTAAATCTCTCCTCAACTCTCCCTCTCTTCCTCATCCTCTATCTGGATCAATAAGGGGAAGTGTCTAATCCCCCCCCCCCCTTCAAAAATTAATCTAGATATGCTGCCTTCATCTCCATCAATACTCAGATATAGTTGAAATAGAGTTGAAAAAATATATTTAATTCCATATATCGTAATTCCAAAGTGAGAAAGATCTCATATAACAGATTGTGTTTAATATTTCTTTCTGAAATGTCTTTGATTTGAGCTTGTATAATATTAATATTCCCATTTTCTATTCAATTTTGATTTATTAACATTTTTACAAACCTGGCAAATTCAAAAATGTATGTTTTTAATCAACATGAATATTGCTCTCCTTACAAGGTACCTGTTAAGAATCTGTTTACCTGGATTTTTACACCTCTCTTTCCTCTGAATAATTCTGGGACAATGTTAAATTGTTGCTCTCACTGCACAGCTAGCCTTTCCTCTTTAGGTAGTCAGATTTGTTCTCAGAATTTTATAAAAATAACCTTTCCTTTTCTTCCTCTGTGCTAACAACTAACCAGAGGTGAAACACCTTTGCAAACTTAAGGGGCTCTTTATCTTGGCTTGCAGCCATTTTTGCTCCAGATTGGTCTGATTCTATTCTTTTGACCTGTTTTGAGGTGAAAATGATTTTTATGTTTGAAAAAACTTGGTGCCAAAAACAGTGCGTAGAGGGTGTATTAAAAAAAAGAGAAAATCACATTAGAATCATGAAACGAATGTAAAGCAGTAACATACAATGTATCTACAACGTGCTTAATCTTGAAAGGGTGAGATGTATTTGTATTTTTCTTCTATATATCATATTGTGTTATGATTTGACAAAAATATAAAAGAAAATTGACCAAGTGTTTGTCAGAACAATGAAATTGGGCCTTACTGGAGTTCCCCACTCCTAGCTGGACATCCTATCAACTAACAGTCAATGTCGGCAAAGAGAACTTATGAAACAAGTAAACTAAAATGGCTATACATTGGCTGAATGTAGTTTATGAAAGATCTCTGCGGACTCTTGTCTTTCAACCATCGATCAAGCATCGAGCTCTGGTTTTATTTTAGATTTGTCCTTGTGGCGATCAGAGATAAGGTAGAAGAAAGAAAAGGAAAGGGAAAACATTCATAGACAACTGCAAAGTGATATACAGTTTCATGTTATTTTGCCAAAGGGTAGTAGGAGTCATCAGGAGAGATGAGGAAAGAGGGATGAAGAGAAGTAGAGAAATAAAGAGATGGAGAGAGAGAGAGAGAAAGAAAGAGAATGATCTTTAAAGGGTTGTTGGAGAAAAAAAAACCTTGGCCCATTGGAATAGTAAAATGCTGCATTTCCTGGCCTGGCAAATGACTGTATACGTGATGCTAATCTATTGACGTCAAAAGCGCCAGGAACTGTGTGAATAATCACCAGGTCACTACTTCTTGTTACTTTCTTGCTGATCTTCCAGGGCAGTAGGAAAGTCAGAAGTTTTCAACTTCGGATCTCGAAGCCCTCCTAAGAGAATCCAATCGCCCATTCGTTTCTAGACCATGACTATCGCAATGCTTTCTCATGGTTAGCTATTTCTGTAGCTCGCTGTATACCTAAAACCTGCTTCTAATTTAAGCTTCCGTCTTTCTTTCTTGCAGGGGTATTGTGTTAGTTTCTTATATTCATGATGAAGGCACCACATGAACAGAGAGAAAGAGATTAAGAGATTGAGGGGGGATGCTTGCACCTATTGCAGTAATGCAATGAAGTTTAACAAATACACAATACAAAGGTCCAGATAGAAAAAAGAATATGAATTATTAAACCGGAATAATGAAGTTTAACTAGGAAACCAGGCATAAAAAAATTATATATTTTTTACGCTTGCATATTTTCCTGAACAATTAATTCCTCAGATATTGGAGTTGCATATCAGATTTATTTTCAGTCATTTCAGAACAAAGTATTCCGTACAGCATAAAAATGTTGCATATCATTAACATGAAGAGCATCCATAGACCTGTATATACTTTAGACCAGGGCATCGGTTCACAAAGCGATCATAAGTACAAGTTTGTGAACATTTCATTGAAGCATGTGTAAATTAAAATACACATTACAATTGGATGTTGGTGAACTTGTACCTATGACAGTTTTGTGATACAGTACCCTGTATTCCTGACTTGTGTATGACTAGACAGTACAAGTCCACACAACCAAGTCCTTTCTAACCCAACAACTTTTTAAGTTGGTATATTGCCTCATTGATACGCTTTGTGACATTTATCTTGATTTTCACATTTCCTTTACATGTTCCAAATATTTGCATTTTTACATATGTGTACAATTCCCTCTTCCCCTTTGCTTCCAATTCATCTTACGAGTTAGATTTTGGTAAATCATTCATCAAATAATGCTTGTTTTTCTCTCTTTGATCTGTTTCTTTTTGTCTGGGCAGGATATGATGAAGCATTACAAGGAAGAACAGGGGCGGGATGTGATCGCCAGGGCGCTCAAGTCAATGACTAACGTGGCATGGCACATCAATGATATGAAGAGAAAACATGAGGCATCTGTCCATGTTCAAGAGATACAGAGTCAGCTACATGGATGGCAGGTAGGTCAGAGACGGTGACAAAATAAACATGAGCTGAAGGCACTTTGCCTCAGAAATCAAGAGTGCCTTTGAAAACTGTTCCTGCTCATTGGTTGTAAATGAGTGCTCCTACTGTAATTTCCTTTTACCTTAGATTTTTTTATTTGTTTGGGGGTTGCAGAGATTAATTTTGGAAGTCCATGTGCTCTGGTTTTTGCATTGTTCATTTCAGATCAAAATGTTTAGAATACCACTTTTAATTATTGAGATATAATTTGGTCTGAATAACAACTTAAAACCATTTTAGATCAGAAAAATATACATATTGTCAAGCTTATTAAGCACTCAAAAAAGAATGAGGAGATGATTCATTTAGCTGAAACGCCCGTTTTTATGAACTGGGAAGGAAGGTGTCTGCACAGTGATGTGTGAAATGAAGAATCCCCAGTGTTCCCCACTGCAGACGTGACGCATGAAGCAGGTAAGATAGGGGTTTCCATGGAAACAGATGAGTCTCATGGAGACTGTGGGACTAGTTACTTGTCATGTGTTCCCTTCCTCTGGTACCTTGCTAAAACGTCCAAGACCTGGCCCCCAAGATCCGTGTCTATAATTAAATACAGTATCACGTTTGCCAGCAGGATTATCCAATTCAAAATGGGTGTCAGGTTTTATACATGAAACTTTAAATACGAAACGAGCGATTCCATGCAAAGTGTCCAGAACAAAAAAAATCTTATACTTATTTCGTCCGTCCCCCCCCCCCCCAAAAAAAAAAAAAAAAGTTATGATGTGGCCATTTACTAATGGTTTTTCCTTGCATAACCACACCTTTGGTCAATTGTACTATCATGAGATGTTTCATTATTTGATAACTTATATTGTACAAGACATGTTGCAATGCATCACTCAAGAGATATTTTCAGCCCTAGTTTCTCCATGTGTATGCTCTGTTTTCAAGAGAACAACTACATTAGAATATCACATACATTTGTGTTTCAGCATGACATAATGTAAAACGGGAGCTTCAAACAAGCAATAACCAAATAAGTGCGCTATTCTGGATTCTAAGATCCCTCCAATTTTCCATGTTCCGGCTAGAGGAGTCCGAAAACCTTAGCTTCCTCACCAATTTCCCTCCCTGATTTCTGCTCATCGTGGTGTCTCTTCCTGCCTTGAGTTTGTTGAGACTTTAATCTTTCAATCTAATGGATGCTTATTGAGAAGATGACAGAGGCTGAACTTTTAGGACCCATCATGGATGCCATAGATGTCATAGAGCGTCTTAAAGGTTCTACTCTTAGTTCGTTCTATAAATACATAGTCTTGTGTCAGTTTATGTGAAGATGTTCTTGATTTACAGTCATTTGTTTCAGGCTGATTCTAGAATTCTGAAAAGTCATTTTTTTCTTTAAAAGGTTTTTATCTTTTTTCTATTTAGAACTTAATATTGTGTATTTTAATAGCTAGAAGGCTATAGCTAGAATCACATTGGATGAACTAATGCCCTTCTGATTCAGAGCAGACATCATACACCCAAGACCAAGGCTTTGTGTCCTTACATGAACCCAATCCGTTAGCTTGGAATAAAAACTACTTCTAGAGGGTTGGAATTTGTTAGGTTTTCAAACAACTGTTTCTTTCTTGTAAATATCTCTACAGTTTGCTTAATATCATAGAATTCTGTACAGAAGAGCTCTTAAAGTCATTCAAAGGCTGAAATAGAAACGGGGAAGAAATATGTTTCAAGGGTGACAGGGGTGAAGCAATTTATGAACCATATCAGCGACAGAGGAAGTGGGTGGAATGTTCTCTAAGACAAGCTCTCTTTCTTGGGTCACGTCTAGATAACGCACGGCTAGAATATTTACGAGATGCACTGCAGAGAGCATAGTTGGTTGTCCGGTTTGAAAAACAATAACACCTATCAAGTAGTTGTGAGGTTTGCTTTTGATGAGTGGTTTGGATAGCTGAGAGACAGGGAGTGGTCTTATCTTCATCTGATACAAGCTTTTCAGGTTAATTGGGACAGCTAGGGTCACCGGAACATTTGTCTCTCGAACTTGTTCTGCTGTTCTGTCTGACATTTGAGAGGAAGTTCAAAAAGGGAAATGATGAGGAAGAGATGTTCTTTTCAGTTGGAAAGCCATTATGTTACTCTATATTTCATGATTTAATCTTGCCAATATTCCATTAAATAAAACAGACATTTCCTGTTGCTGCCAGTCTTGATGGTGATACAGAATATCTGCTGAAATATGTTGATTGCTTCAATACTAACTGCTGGGATGATATGTTTTTTTGCACTAATGAGAAGAATTTTACATTTTGAATGGCAAATTTATGTCTGTGCTTCAATAAGTAATCTTTCTATTTGGTACTTGACTATACTTAGAGGTTAGAGCCTTGTGTTTATAATCACAAGACTACTATTTATTTTATTTTATGCAGTGCCATGATATAGCCTGAAAGGTCTACCAACCTATAAACTTCCTGTGATTACAGTTTTTAGCATCAGGAAAGTGTAGAAAAGTTGCTAAATTTGCCCCCTTTCTTGGCCCTCTTGTCTGTCATATGCATCCCCAATGGTGTCATGTCTCGTCAGTAAGGCATCCGTTATTGTGTCTCTTCTCCTCTGCCTTTCTGTCTTGCCCCCACTTTTCTCCCCTTATATATCTTGTGTTTGTCTCTCTTCCATTTTGCCCAATCATGTAACCTTTTTCTTATTAAATTCTCCCTATATTTGAGATCTTTTCTCCCCTCTCTTACATATTTTTCCATCTCCTTTAATTGTTGGTCCCCCCCCCCCTCTCTCTCGCACTTTCTCTCTTTCTCCTCTCACTCATATCTGTCTCTGTCTGTCTATCACTGAATCTCTTCTCCTTCTCTCTCCATCTCTCTTTCTCCTAGTAACTATGTTACCATCTTTCTATCTTCTCTCTTCCAGACTCTCTCTCTTTCTCTTTCACTCTCCTTTCCCCTCCCTCCCCTCTCATTGGTCTTTATATACATGTATCTCAGACATTGCTCTTCTGCAAATAAGCACAGCTGTTGTCTCTTACCCCAATGATTATATTAACCCATCCAGTCATCTCAAAAGTTAAATACCGTTGCCAACTTGCAATGAAATTAAGTGACACATTGTATCGGGCAAGTTCTCTGTTGATTCAAATTCTTCATTTGTATCTGAAAGTCTTTACACAGTCAATGATACAGGAATGCTCTAACTTTTGTTTGGAGTCTGCATTTTTGTTTGCCTATTCGACTTCTTCCCCTCTTCCCTTGGCTTTGTCAAAATCCAACTTTGAGCCAGTAGTATTTTATTATCAAACAAAATGTTGATATATATCTTCTCTTGTATGCAAAGCAGATTGGTTAAGAAAGAATACTGTTACCTTGTAGCATCACGAAGATGAAATCTTTAACAACATGCCATCACTTCAAAGGCCTAGTCTGATTACTTCATTTCTTTGCTTGGATAAGAATTTGAAGATGATGTTCTAAGGAACAGCTTCTAATGAGTGTAGGAACTGAAGTGAGATGAGACCAATTTCCCTCGGCAAACAAGGTCCTTAAAGTGTGTTATCTTGACCTTTGGTAGTCATACCTATACTTCAAAGATGAAAGAGTTATCTCTTTATAATTAGGTGTACTGACAGATGAAATACATCCTAGAAGGAGTTTACTCAATAGTGTGCTACATGGCAATAGTAACATATGATGTAGAGAAGAAGTGAAGATCGTTTCAGATACAAATTTGAATACTTTATTATTAAAGCTGTTTACTTTTTTTAAGAGCGAGATGAAAGGGTGGATATATCAATAAAACGAAGGTTGCTACTGTTACAAAAACAAATACAGTCTGAAATTGATAGTATAATAAGATAATATAAACATTTCTAAGATCTTGGGAACCTATTTCATTTCATTTCATAATTTTGAGCTTACTTTGTCAACTATGTTATTATTGTGCAAACAATTGATGTATGAAATGGAATAAAATCAATCAATCAATCAATGGTCTGAAGGAGAATGAAGGGAAACTAACTGTTTTACCAAGAATGGTAATTATAGTTAGGGCTACAATGAAACAATGTGTCACATGGTTTTCAATAAAGAGATTTAGTCTTGAGTACGGATTGTATGAAATGAGATATTTCAGCTTTCCTGTGAGATTAGAGATATTGAAGAAAATAACAGAGAAGTCATTTTGACATGACCATAATATGTGTCATTGAGATATAAGAAATGGGGAAAGGGAAGGCTTTCATGAAAAGTAATGTTCTAGGCCAGGGCTGTAAGGAAATATGTCATGCAAATCGTGGGTCTTTCCTGTTCCAGAAATCAGAAATATTTTATGTTACAAATAAAACCGTTTTAGTATGGTATGGATTTCAGTCGGGTATGAGGGAAGGAAAAGAGAGAAATAGAGATATAGGTAGGTAGGTATATTTAGGAAGGTAAAAAAGAGCAAGGGAAGAGAAAGAGAGAGAGTGTGCATCAGAAGAGTAAAAAGCGAGCCCCGAAGAAATTGTTAGTGAAGAGAGAGAAATAGTATTGAATGTCCAAGGTAAATATGTTAGAGAGCTATAATTAGCCCGATATTGATATTTATTTCCCCTTCAGGGTAACCTAATAACCTTATTACTTATGCCGTAGAAACTTTTTATTTGCATAAGCTAGAGAAAAGTCAGTCATGAAAAGTTCTTTCCCCCTTCAGCAACTATTCATCTTTTGATATTCTCTTTGCTGCTTATTTTTTCCACGGTAATAGCATGAATCTTGGATTCACCAAATTTGACTGTAAGCTCAGGAAAGTTCATTGCCTTTTGAGAACACCTATTTTTTATATGGACATGTTAAGAAGAACCTTGCTGTAACAGAGAGCTACCATAATATCATGTACACATCAAACAACTGTATAACATGTTCCCCCTATTATCAGTTGTCTCCCTCGTGGATTGGCTAATTAATCTTCTTCTGATAGAGGTAATAATAAATAAACAAAAACCCTCAACAAA